AAATGCTAAAATGTGATACCTGCATGTTGAAAGACACTTCTGTTCTCTAAGTTAATGCCCGTTCTTCTGTTGCTTTACCACAGACTCAGCAACCTGAGCCCAGAGAAACCAAAGCTGCGCAGAAAGAGATAAAATCCTGGGTAAGGTTTCAAGCCGGATTATATGTGGATGGGTGTTCTCAGCATTAAACAATAGGTTTTGCTTGTGCACTCATATGTTTGTCTGCTTACAGCCTCGGCCTCCACCAGTCAAACAGAAAAGCTCGCAGGACCTCCGACCAGAAAAAATCACCACAGTGAGACCATCGTCTACGGACAGGAAGAGATCTCCAAAGAGGTCACCTGAACGCCACCAGAGAACGCCTCATCTGACACCTGAGCCCAGACCGACCACGCCCGCTTATTTGCCAACTGCCAGGCAAGTTGCAGATTTTTTTGTCATGTAAAAATTGATTCCTTTGTGACGATACTGATGTAGGTTTTGTGTAAAAGGGCAAAAATACAACAAGGTCTTTACAGGGCTAACAATTGTAAAAGGTGTTAACAGATTTGAGTAGTTGGAAATTTAACCTAAACAATAGAAACACCTGATTAAAGTGATCGTATTCCACAACCTGTACAGTCAGGATTTTAACCTCTGTGTGGTGTGTTTAAGATATTAAGATAAAAATGAACTGAAATGTATTTAATCTTATTGAAGATCTTCAGTGAGAACATCCTCCAGACAATCACCCGCCACACCATCGAGGAGAAGCCCTGCCAGTGATGCCAGATCTCAGGTCAGTTTGTTCTCTGTGGTAGAATCCTTTTCAGTCAAAGCCATGTTGTGCAACGATAATTGATGTAATTTAGAATGAAAAGACACTAAATGGGAACTTTGTTGGTGAATGGGCTCATATATCATTTCTTTTTTTTTCAGGTCTTTCCCTCTGTGGATCAGGTGTCAATGGTTGAAGAAGGGGAGGATGACGAGAAGAGCGAGAGCGGTAACTATTCACATGCACATAATAGACCTGCTTAAGGTTTCTTGCAGTAATTTAAAGCCCCACTGTTTATACACACAAAAAACAATGATATGATCAACCATCTGACCTCAAAACTTTTACATGATGTAGACATTTGTGGTACAAAATACTGTTGCCTGCTGACAGGGTTTTAATTTTATATTCTTGTCATTTTATTCTTTGACTTTTCAGGTGCAGCAGGAGACAGTGACGCCCCAGAATCTTCATCTTCAAGCTCTTCACAAAGCGACATTATCGTCATTTCGCCCAAGCGAAAAATGAGGAAGGTACGACTGAGATGAGTGAAAGAAGGAGGAAAATTTAGCATTGCATTGTGCTGCTATTGTTCTAGTATACAGAATACAACAGAGCTGAAGACACCCTTGTGCAATATCACTTACATGTCAAGGATTCTAAATCGTACCACTTGTCAATAACTACATTGCATCTAAGAGTATTTCCTGTAATAATCAAAACAAATACTTCTGAATGACATTTTGGTGATCTTGCACAGGGATGTTCTCCCTTCCATTGCAGAGCTACGGTAAGATGAGTTTGACCTTTAACTTCAAACTGTCGTGTTTCAGGGAGACAAGCTCAGAGTGGAGATTCTGTCGCTGACATTCGAACCATCCTCACACGTTGCGCTGGACGAGTCGGTGCAGCGCGTTTACGTGGAGTATCGGCTGCTGGGCGTCCCGATGGAGACGACGGAAACACCCATGTCCCTCCGCAAACCCACCGAGGGCGAAGAGATTCACTACAACTTCACACGGGGTGAGGGTTTAACTTTGCGTCTATTAAGTTTTAATTTCTAAGATCCTTTATAAACTCTTTCTTTGTCCCTCTCAGTGATTTACGTGGATGGTTCTCAGTCAGCTCCACTCAGGCAGTATCTTTACACCATGCTGGAGGGCACCGACCCCAACCAGGGCAGGTACTGTGTCATCAGTGGTTTATATGTCATTTTGTGGATCTCGCCAACCACAAACTACAAAATGAATGTGTGTCGTTACAGGTTAAAGTTCACAGTAGTGAGTGAGCCGATGGACGATGAGGAGGAGTGCGTGGACGTTGGACATGCTTTCCTGGACCTGAAGGAACTGCTGCTCACTGGAAATGATGTCAGCGAGCAACAGATTGACAGTAGGTATTATAAAAATGAAAGCTATACTTGCTGTATGAATTACATGGATTAAACATATTTGATGCCACTCAGCTAAAACACCAAATGTCTTTAGAAAAATTCAGACGACTGCCAATTAGCTCGGATTATTTTAAACGTTATTGTGAGGGGAAAATAATGAAAACAAAACAGCCTGCGTGGAACCATAAGTAGGTTTAAAGAAATAATTTCATAACAAGATTAATTCTAATTTATTGTGTGAAATGTGTAAATAATGGAGTTGTCTTGCAGCATTTCCAAAAATCTGTGTTCCCCTTTCCTTCAGTTATGAGTCTGGATGAAGACAAGGAGGTGATAGGAAATCTGAAAGTGTCTCTGGAAGCAGCCAAAGCGCTGACTGGGATTTACCAGGAGTTTCACCGGAAAGACAAGAGAGAAGACAAGACGGATGAAGATGAATCAGAGGATGAGGAAGAGGAGAAGGAGGAGAAGAAGAAAGATCACATACCAGTGATAGAATACGACGATGACAGTGACTTCGACTGAATGTAAATGTGTGGGGGAGCCTTTCTTTTCCTGTTTGTAGCCTCTTTAAGATTTTGAAAAGCAAAGAAATAAAGAGTCACCTTTGAAAGACATAACTGTGAATTACTTTTTCTTTTTTTTTCCTGAGTGCTTTAAATATCCACATTTATTGATCCATCTGTATCATGCATCTGACTGACAATATATTTCTTAGGTTCATGTTTCTCCACCAAACTCAGCATCTGAAAATCTGTTACCACCAACTAACTAATTTATGTTTTCAGATAGCGTTATATTAGTTTCTGGGCATATAATTGTGCCTAAAGATTATTTGAAGGCAACATGGTGTTTAAACAATGAAATAGCAAAATATTACATTTGAAGGAAATTTTAATAATATATTTTTTAGTTTAATTTACAATGTATTTATAACATCATCATAAAATTAGGTTAGAGTTCAGTGTTATGTGCAACTCAAAGGTCAATAAATCCACATTTTACTTTTTCTCAAGTTTCTTTGTGGTTTCACAGCCTGGCTAGAGTGAGAATCACAAAACGCTCTTAGATTGTCCGACGGTCTTTGAAAGCCTCACCTGATTGCCGGCACCTGCGTATTTTGGATTAACGGCTGAACTCAGTAATTTGAATTTAAATGTTGAAGTTATCCATAGCGTTTTCCTTGTCAGACAAGCTTCAAAATTAACACAGGGGTCAGTTGTTGAGGCCACCCCGAGTCTTGAGTAAACTGTGAGGATTTACTCTCTTGTTAAGTCAGCTAACGGTAGCTAAGTCAGTTTAAAAAAAGAGCTAACAGCGAGATAGCTTCAGTTTTAAAACGGCGGTTAGTTGTTAGCTTTAGCGGTAAAGTTAACCAACAGTTAGCTTCTAGGCTCAACAATGGTAAGTACCTATCAAATAAAGTTAATTTAAGCTGTAATTTAAGTTTACGTATAGAAGCCAACTAATTTTCCTAAGACTAGGTTATTAGCATACTAATGCTAATTTAGTAACGTATTTAGTAATGCTAATTGTGGCTAACGAGCTGTGTAGCCTAGTTGTTGCACTCGCTACTGGTTATGGGAGACATGTTTACTACTAAATATGCATTATCTTAAAAAAAAATTAATAAATCTCAAATTTGACATTTCATTCATGCTTGATGTCTAAAATTATTCATAGTCTTGCACCCCCTCGACTCAGAGGCCCACCCAGACAGGTGCAGGTGAACAGGCCTAGAGCCTCCACTAGAGGTGATTGGGTACCAAAGTCCAGAAAGACAGCTTCTTGGTCAGTCTACTTTGTCAGCTAGAGCTTTGGGGAAGTGGAATTCAATCCTCACAAACATTAGAGACTCAGGAGGCGTTGCAGTGTTTAAAACCAGCTTCAAGGTTTGCCTAAAGTCAACACAAAAGTGCCATTGCAATTAATTGCCTATCATGTATTGTCTTTACTGATTCTATTTGTTATCTCACACTGATGGAAGATTTTGTATTGTTTTATGTATTATACCTACTTATTGTGCTGTGTTTTTTTTTCTGTTCTTGTCCAGCAACAACACATGCAAACTTGCTGCTAAGTAGCTCTTTTGTGTTTACTTTTATTTATGCAGTGTCCCTGCAAAAATACACAGTAAAATAATAATAACATCAAAAAATCCCCAGTTGATCACATGCAATTAGACAATGATTTTTTGTTGTATTACAAGTTGTCTTAAAGCAAAGGATGTACCCAAGAGTGCCCTAATTTGCATTATTTGTTTCCAGACAGAAATTTGAACACCAGACAAAGGCAGCTTCAAAATTTTTGTTTGATTTTGTTTACATGTTGGAGTTAAAGATTTTTACTGAGGGGATTTTGGATGTCTCTTTTCATCACGTCATAAATCAGAAAATACTGTCAACAGCCAAAAACTTCTTTTTTGACATGTTTTTAGGCATAACATATTCTACAAATCAGGTTTTGACTGATATCTAAACAAGACTCTCTTTTGAAAACTGCAGAATGTAGGTAGAAATATAACAGAATATATTTATAAGATTTTAGGCCCATTATGAGAAAAAAAAACTCATAATAAAATGGCTTTTGAATGTTTGTATTCCAGGTTAAATCTATAGACAAAGTAGTAAAATTAACACCTAAATGTGTTCTTTGGATGTTTATTCTTTACTAATCTGAAAGAAAACATGTTATCAAAGTAAAATCTCATAATTGAACAGTGCATGAATAATGATCATTTTGCCTGTTGTGTGTCAACACGTTTCATTGTTCAAATGGACCTCTCACATTCAGAGTGTTTCAATGAAAAGGAACCACAGTGTTTGTGTTTGTGATTAACAGAAGGAGCCCATGAAGCACGTGAGCCACCAGCAGGTCAGCCAGCTGCTCCACAACAAATTCATTGTGGTGTTGGGAGACTCCAGTGAGTAACAGTTAAATTCTCCTCTGTCAAATAATCTTTAAACAGCTACACATCTAAAAGTTTCTGTGCAGCAGGCAAGGCGTAGTCATGTAATTTCAAAATAATTCCTCTTGCTCCTGAATCATCTGCCAAGTAGATTAACTTGTGCTTTGTGCCTTTAAGTGGGGACGTTGACTGTACAAGCTAAGTTTAAATAGTCTAGTGAATATATAATGAATCTAAAGGCATCCTGTGTTGCAGAAATATGATGTTTGTGTGTATTTCCTTCTCAGTTCAGCGGGCTGTATACAAGGACCTTGTTCTGCTGCTACAAAAGGAGAAATATCTCACCACAAAACAACTAAAAACCAAGGCAAGGACTCATATTTATCAGCTTTACATGCTGATGAAAAGAAGGGAGGGGGTTGTATGAAAAGTGCATACCGCTGGACAAAATATGTTAGCTGTATAAATGTAATTTATTGTTATTGCCTTTTATAGTTCTGTTTACTCGTGCCATTTCTTTAAGCTTTAATCTCATAAAGTTTGGCGTAGCAGCATATCCACTTGAACTTAAACATGTCTTTTGTTATAAAACTTGTTTGAGTCCCAGGATAAATGTCATTCTGATTACTATGACAGCTAGTTCTCTCCTGCCTGAGCTGTTATTCTCACACTTACTCCTTCAGGGTGAGATGAGCTTCGAACAGGACTGCCTGGTGGAAGGAGGTTGTCTGAGTCAAATGCACAATGGGAGTGACTACAAAGAGGTTCGGCAGTTTCAATCCGCCCACCACCTGGTCCGCTTTTACTTTGTGACGCGCATCTACTCGCGCTACATGCAGAGCATCCTGGACGACTTCCAACACGGACTGAAGCCAGATGTAGTCATTGTCAACTCCTGTGTTTGGGATATTTCAAGGTGGGTAGGTGGTGTAACTATGAGTGGCACTAACAGTACTCCTAGGTGGCATGACTTTGAGTCGCAGTGTGTGGTGGTCATAAAAGAGAGGCGCAATGGCAAAACCTACCCCTCAAATCCAGAAACCCTGTGAACCCCACGAGCTATCTGCAGGGTATGAACAGCAGGACTACAAGTTTACGCTGTCTGGGTGCTGCCTACAAACACAATGCTTTGTGGCCTGGAGTGAGTCAGTGGAAATGTAATTTGTATGATCGCTAATGAAGTATCCAGTCAGTAAATATGTGTTGGGTTTTGTAGATACAGTTCCCGTTGGATTAATGACTACAAGGAGAACCTAGATAGGTTCTTTGATGAGCTGAGGAACATGCTGCCAGAGGAAACACTGGTCATATGGAACCTCACCATGCCCTTAGGAGAGAGGATCAAAGGGGGCTTCCTGGTGCCTGAGGTACGTCATCCACAACCATCTGCATTATAACTGGACATGGAATTCTGCTCTCATTGGATCAAGTCAGCACACAAAGTATCTCCTGTTACACCTCCTGACTGGGAGTTTACACCTGTAGTGTGTAACTACAACTGCAGCAGTGTTACTGTCCTCAGAGCCAACTGACTTTAAATCAGAACAAAAGGAAAGGTTTTTCAAGTAAACTTTACCAGAATAACTCAAGGAAATGATTTTATTTCTTCAATTTATCTTTTACTTCCACACTATACTGTATGCCTGGAGTAGATGTATTTATTACTTTCACAACATGTACACAGCAGATGATTTGCCCACCTGTATCTTAAGTAGATTTATTTTTCTCTAGTTGTTGTCCATTCTGAGGATAAGATGCTGGTTTCTCCAGTCCATTGATGCTCTTTCAGCCTTAAACCTCTTCCTTTATTCCTGTTTCACCTCAGATTGAGCACAAAGCTTCCCATCTGCGCTTTGATGTGGTTGAAGCCAACTTCTACAGTGGGACTCTGGCTGATGCCTATGGGATGGATGTGTTGGACCTTCACTTCCAGTTCCGCTTCTCCCTGCAACATCGTACGAAGGATGGAGTCCACTGGAACGCCCTCACCCACCGCAGGATTACCTCTCTTCTGTTACAGCACACTGCACAGGCCTGGGGGGTGATATGGCCCAGTGCACTGACATCTGTTGGTGAGGAAGACTACACACACACACACACACACAAAGAAGCATGCAGTGCCACCATAAGTTGGAACTTGTTATGGTTTAGACATCCTGTCATAATGGGATAGTGGGGTTTTTGATTTACAGAGATTCCTCTGGCCAGTATTTGTCATTTGCATTTGTTTGTTCAAGCTGAAATGAGTTTGTTCTTTCTAGAGCCAACTGAAGCTACTGATGAGCAGCCAGCTAATGACAGTGCTCTAAATATTGCAGGTAAGACATCAGATGATGTTAAAATTGATTGGTTGATAAAGGACAAGCACATATTTGTAACATAAATCACAATAACCCCATGGCCTTCTGGGATTAACGCACTGTATATGAGGACTTGGGTTTGTCACCTGTTAAATTTTAAGATGACCCAACGCATTTCTTGGGTTGACTGTCCATCAGCAGTCAGCTCATTTTTAGGTGGTGTCCTACACTGAGAACTTCACTATGCTGTTATAGTACAAACCATACAGGTTATCAAGTAACACTATAAACAAATCCATGTTGAAATCACTGTGTTGTACATCCGTACACTGATGTTTGAGATTCCCTCAATTTCCTGGGTCATGTCACTCTCCTAAAAGGTGCCTCCAAGTACTACTTCCCTTCTCCTAGAAATACTTTTTCCAACACTGGTAAGGCATCTAAACAGGCAGGTTTTAGGGTTTTCGCTTTGACTGTTTTCTGTGTCTTTGATATGTGATGTAATTGCAACAACTGCTGAGAATACTTGGTGTCTTCTGGGCATTTTTTTTTTTCGGACTCAAGCATATCCAGCTCAACTTATAAACTTAGACAGACTTATTGCAGCTCTTTCATAATACAGTGTGATTGCAGAGTACGTTGTGGACATATAAATGCTCTCTCACTGCAGTAGAGTTATAACTGGTGCCTAAGTCATGAGGCAGATTGCTGGAAACAAACATTACCCCAAAACAATCCCTAGAATATATTTAACTTTGCAGACTGATAACTGATTTATCAAGCAAATTTTCTTTTCAAGGTGGATTTTTTTCACTTGCTTCTGCACACTGTAGAACACCCTCTTACCTGGTCACCATTTCTGAAACATTGTCTTTTTCTGCCATCCCCATTACCCCTCTTGTCTCTTTTTCAGAGAGAGAGCCAACTGAAAGAAATTACACTAGTTATAATGAGCAGTTTTACAGTGATTCTTTGCCTGTTGGCTTCATAGACTTTGAGAACTGTCCACGGCCACAGAAATGTCGACGCAAGGTGGTTGAAACATCCAGACGTCTTGGCCCCCTGCAGCCTGTCCTGCCAGTCTACAGACATCCGTATGAATACATGCATGACACACATGGTAAGTGTATCAGCATACCTGTGGTACAATGAGCAGGTGTTTTGTCCCTTAACCAGATCACACTTCACTCAACAATACAGTAGAAATATTTGTTTTTACAACAGGATGTCTGTGTTTTGTGGTCTAGTTATTTTAACTGTGTAACAGCTGGTGGCTGCCATGTCCACTGTATGACTTTCTTAACACGTCTCATGTGATCTACAGACTACAGGTCTTCCTACCAGCCCTACAAAGAGCATCATCCATATGTGATGAGGAACCGGCACAACAGACACCACTACGCTCCATACACCAATCAGAGAGCAGCTCAATACTCCCGTCATGTCTACTACTACTGAGACTGAGGTGTTCATGAGCTTTAGACACATTCCACTTACTGTGTTATCCAATCCTCCTATTAAGTTGCTTATCACACACAGATGGAGGCACTTTTATACTCTACATTTGTTTTCCTTTACTTGTTTGAACTCAGCTTTTTTTTGTTTTGTTTTTCCTTTCTTTCCTTCTTTGGCACCCTTTAAATAAATTTCGAATTTTAAAGTATTTTCAATTTTGCACCTTGCATGTTTCAGGTGCTTTGTTTTATTAAAGCTGAGTAGGATTTCAGGACAAAAGTGTTTGACTTATTTTTAAATTTACTTGTTACAGCTGTACGTTATGTCATACCTTTTTTATTACATAATGGTCCTTATGTCTCTTCACAGGTCCAAGTGTAGTGTAGAGATTTTTTTTCTTAAAGGCCTGAACACTTATTTGAACATTGACAATCATTAAAGGGATTTTCTATGATGGCTAAAATCAGACGTGATTAAGAAACTGCTTTGGATCTGTCTTCCCAGGCCAGTATCAATACAGCTCTGCTATATTATCATAACATCACCTACAAAGGTTTTTCATCTTCATATAAGCAGCTAAATAGTGTTAAAAACCCATTACATAGCACATTATACAGGCATAACATTCAGAAATGATGTCTCTTGCTCTGAAGTTGAACTGCTTACTTTTATTGTCTGAATTACTACAAATACAAAAGATACAAAGGGAAACAGCTATCAGCTGGTGCAAGTACAGTAAGAATGACCTGTTAGTTTTCCCTGTTTCCACAACAAGTTGGCAAAACTGGTACCCAAACTGTTTTAATGATGAAAACAAGACACCTTCATGTGACATTCAAAAGGTCTTGGACTTTTGAAAAAAATATCCAAAACCAAATGTATTAGTGCTATAACTTTGCAGATACAGTTTCCTGAGAATAGTGGAAAGCAAAAAGGATAAATAGAGGAGAATGTTGAAGTGAAATGTTAGCTGGAATGAGAAGAGGATGGGGAGGAGAAAAAAAAAAAAAAAGCTATTTTTTGATGTGCTGTCAATCACAGCTGCAGGCCAATGCAGCACTTCAGACCATGAGCAGACGGTGAACTTGTTGCAGCTGCTGCTGCGACAGGACGAGGCGGTGGACTTGTTCCTGTCCGCGGGTGCATGGGATGGCAACACGACCTACGAACACCGTTCCTCCCTGCTTCTCTTCCTTGGCCTGGGAAAAAGCACAAATACACACATGGTGAAATTCTACATTTGTACAGTTTCTGTCATAAGTATGAAAATCTTGTGTGCAGGGTAAGAAAACTTTGTTGAATCATGTGACTGATGTTTTGCGTGGGGCTACCTTAACAAAGGAGGACACTGGGAACGTGGCAAAGTCAGAGGACGCCTTCGCTCCAGGCTGGTAAGAGACCACATGTTCAGCTACCTCACCCTGGAACAGAAAAGGTTGGAATTTGACAGTTGAGAGGACTGTATGGTTTTATATCACTGTCAGCTGATGGGCTAGGTGAAGATGAGTCTGAAAGTGTGACCTTGAGTTTGTCCAGAGCATCGCTGAGGTTCTGCAGTCGAGCTGTCTGTTCCAGTAGCTGTGCACTGGAACTAACTGGAAGAAACAGACGAGGAAAAATGAGCTAGTTCTGACACCAGCAGCAGCAAAAACACAAAAGTCTACTTTAGAACTCACTGACGGAGGGTAAACATATCTTCAGTGAAAACATGCACCTACCTGTTGTCTTCCCAGTAATGTCCACTACTTTAACCTCTGCACTCAGTTTGAGCAGGGTTGCCAGCAGTTGGTCGGTTCTGCGATAGATGCCTGTGTTTAGTCCTTCTGGAGGAATGGAGCTTTCTTTGGACACTTGCGGGAGTTTGGGAGGGCAGAGTGGTGGAAGGGAGGCCAGCTGGGCTCTCATCTTCTCCGCCTGTAGGTAAAATACAGTCTGGGTCAATACAAGTGAGGTTACAGTACCCGGTATTATAATAATATCAATATTAATCCAGTGTACCTTGAGCCTGTTGTTTTCATTCTTAAGGCGTTTAAGGCCGAGTCTCTGAGCCTCAACCTGCTGCCTGAGGAGAGGAGAGTCCACCACCTGCATTGGTCCTGCCATGGATGGAGGCAGACCTGCTGGAGGAAGGAGAGGAAACATAGTAAGAGACAAAATCACTGTGACATATTGTGCTTCTCTTTTGACATTTGTCTTTTTTTTCCCTAAACTTTGGAGACTATTTTTGTGAAAATATAATTAGCGCCTGGTAGGAAAAATACACTTGCATCCCATGCAATTAAATTTAAGTTAATGCAAACCCTATTGCATTATCAGATGGTTAAAATTGATTTTCTAAAGGTTACGTGGGAGGATGTTGCATCTTCTGTCAAACATAAAATGCCAACGTTTCCATCTGCTGACAGGATGTGGCCATAACTGCACAGTAATTCACCTCCTGCAGATCCCTGAACGATGGAGGCTATTCCTGAGGCAGGCGGACCTCTCAGGCCTTCAATTGTCATCTTTGACTGGTTATTGATGCGTTGCTTCAGCTCTGCCTTCTCCGCCTCCAGCTGGTCGATGTCAGCCTGCAGAGCATCCATCGTCTCCTCAAACTCCCTGAAGATGAAGAACAAATGGGGGGTGAGTGAGGAGGAAAGTATGGATAGGGAGATAAGAGAAAGGTGATAAACAAAGAAGGACGCAGAATCTTCATCAGTCTTACTTTTCTTTCTTCTTCAGCAGGGCGAGGTTCTCGTCCAGTTTGGTCTGAATCTTCTCCACTCGGTCGTCGGCATCCTTAGTGGAGGTGTCTAGTTTCTTCTCCAACAGGCTCAGGCGGACACTGGCCTCACTCAGCTCCTCACCCTGTGGAAGACAAGTACAGCCACACCAGTTATGTATCTTGTTCATCTTTGCTCTTCTTTAACTGGAAGACAAATTCTTTGTTTTTTTTTCAGGGTGTTACCTTAATCTTCAGGGATTTCTTGAGCTCCTTGATGACCGTTTCTCTGTCTTCTAGTTTGACTCCTAGACCCTCAGCATCAGTCATCTCAGCCCTGACAGTGGATGCTCTTACCTCGACTGGAGAGGTCTAAGGACACAAATGGCCAACAAGTGAGGTTTCAGTGTCTAACTTTTGTAATAAATCAATATTTTTAAAAAAGTTAAGACATACACATACCTTCCCCTGTGGTTTGTCAGCATCATACTCTCCTTCCTGCATGGCTGTAGCCATCTTGTTCATGGTAGCGATGACAGAGCTGCATGACTGTCGCAGCAACTCTGGCCCGTTCACGCCATGTGTGCCGTATACCTTGAAGAACAGAGTGCAGATGCAGAACACAGTGAGACGGTGGCATCTTATGTCCACTTCCATATAGTGCAATAACTACTAATGTTCTGGATGATGCTCAGAACACAAGTGTCTTAAAATACAAAACATAATTCCAACATTATTCGGTGCATGCCTATTTTAGTTTGTTTGATTTCTACTTTAGTGCAGCAATAAAACAAAAGCACTCTGGGATATATTCACCACATTTCTGACAACCTAACTGTATTTGAATGTTTTTAATAATCTAATTTGCACTGTTATGTTGTGAATAGGAATTCTTATTATTATTATAATCAAGTATAATTCGGCTAAGCTTTAGTGAGAGTACCTGTGATTATCAACAAATGCACTGAAACCAAAACTCTATCAGTGTTTAAGCATCACCAAGGAGTCTTTTATTAATGTGTAGAGTGGATTGGGCAGTTACAAACAACATGACAGTACCTGTTCCACAACTTTGCAGGCAGTATCCTCCAGTCTGAGGGCATTGAGACCCTCCTGTTCTCCCAGAGAAGCAACCATCTGAGCTCCAGCTGCAGTCACCTCCTGGAGAACTGCAACCACACGGGTCAACTGGCGTCTGCACTCCGTCAGCGTCTCCGACACCTGCCAGATGAGACATGAAACATCAGGCAAACGTACACTGTTGCTCCGTCACTCCCATGTGCATGTTAGTTTCAATAATCATCTCAGTTAGTCATTCACTTGTGTGTATGATGTGTCTGTTTCTGTACCGGTGGTCCAAAATTGAGAGCAGCAGGAACTCCGGCAACATCAGTTCCAGGCATGCGGCGGCGGATCTTCTTACAGAACTGTCTGATATCAGAGCAGGAAGTGTCCAGGTCCTTCAGAAGAACCGAGAGGCCGGAGCTCTCCTGCCCTGGGGACAGGAACGCCCGCAGACGAGCCACCTCCACTCCCATACAGTCCAGGGCACTCTGCGTAAACTGGAGGTGAGACGGTGCCATCGGTTAGTCAGAGAAAACCTTATCCTATTTTGTCTAAACAGTGTTTTTCTCTCTCCTTAGGGGAAAAAAAAGTGACACAATTAAGGGAGGAAAAAAGTCAAAACGACACGATTAGACCCGCTTGAAGTACCTTAATGTGATCAGCCAGCTGCACTGTGCAGTCTTCAGTGTGTTCTGCCAGATGGACACTGTACAGTTGCTGGAAGAGAAAACAGTAGTTAGCTACCTGACATTTAAGAAAACACAATTTGAATACAACTAGATGTTCTTCTTGTAATGTCGGTTTCACTGAGTATATGAGGATGTACATACATAAACATAGTGGTTTAGGATGTATTTTTATTTGATAACGTCTAAGAAATATTTCTTTGTTACCTGATAGTATTTGATGGCCTTAGTCAGGGGTTCCACCTGAACAGTCTCATCCAGCTGGTCTTTATGCAGCAGGTCGATGAAATAATCCAGAGAGCGCTCATGGAAGCTCATTTCGGAGTAGAGTGTACCCATGCGCTTAAAGACCTCCACACTGCAGCTGTTCAGAGCCCTAGAACCAGGGCAGGGAAGAGCAAAAGAACAGACAAACACATCTAGCTGGTAAATTAGGTTCAACATTACATCGCAACACATAATCATTGTAGAGTTTTTCCATTTGTACAACACAGCAGCTTAAACACATTTTTGAAATTTCTTCTATTACAATACCATACTTTGTTTCCTGACACGTTAGTGATGGCGCTGCAGTGCTTACTGTTCATATTTGTGCAGGGTGGCCTGCAGCAGACTGAGGGAGTAGACCAGTCCTGAAGCAAAACTGCGCTGTTCTCCTGGAGGCCCTCTGAGCCCTGCTCCCTGGACCACGTTCCCGTTCAGGTCAAACTTCTCCTGGGCCTGTTTGCTGATCAGTTCACCCTTCAAGCAAGAGCATACAAATGCAAAATTAGTTCCAAAACCAACTCAGCACAATTGCAATAAGCTGTCATACTGCCTCATACCTTGCAGATGAGCCTGGGGATGAGTAGAAGCACCAGAATACAGTCGTGGTCTCCACCGTGACGCAGGAAGGAGTCCGGCATGAAGGAGGTGAGGAGGGACACTTGTCGGTTCGACTGAGCCACTTCCATTTTCCTCAGCTCCATCTCAATGGCCTGGAGACACAGAAATTGTTGGTCTTCAAGTAAGAGAGAAAAGCCAAAGGCAACGCTGGTGAACTCTGTCCTACCTACTCATGTCCTACCTTGGCATAAGCTTTGGTCTCCGCAAACTTGATCTTGAAGTCAAACAGCTCTGCAGGTGGTTGCTGAACTTGTTCTGCATTTGCACTCTGCTGACTGATCAGCTCCCTGTTGGCCTCCTAATGGACAGAAAAAAGCGCACAGTGTTTAGCACAAACTGCAAATCGAATGCTTCCACGACTAGCGTACATGTCTGCTGCTACCCTGATGGAGTCATGTGTTTCCTCTATCCACCTACCTGAAGGGAGGCGGTGAGCTCTCTGTATTTATTGATGGTCTGCTGGTAATCAGCCACAGTCTCCTGAGCAGCTTCCACCCTTTTGTCTGCTTCTCTGACCTTCGCTCCACTCATGTCCAACTGCTCCCTCAGCTCCATTTCCGTCTCTCTGGCGTTCTCCTGGAGCTCATCATTCATCTCATTGATGGCTTCCTATTGACACAGAAGAAAAAAAAGGTTTGGTGATTGGTTGATCGAAGGCATATGAGCATTCCTAAACATCCTATCTTGGTCCTTCTCTACTTCCTTTTCTTTTTACTTTTGCACAATTGCTTCTGGTTACCTTCACCATCTTGTTAGTGATTTATTGAATGACAGAAATGTAATCTAACAACTTTTATTATGAAAGTAGCTTGGGCTACTATGGAAAATACACACATCTCTGGTGACAACACTGAAGATAAATTAGAAATGCAGCTGCACTGACCAGATCAGTGACAGTTTCTCTCAGCTCTCTGACTTTCTCCTCCAGGTCGAGGTTCCTCTCCGTCAGGGTCTCCACCATCTCCTCTGACCCCAAAGCAGCGTCCACCTGGTACATGAACACACACACATGAATAGACAGGAAGGCATAAAGTGTGCATATAGTTACATTTTGACTCAGAAATCATAAATTTAAAAGGAAAATCAGTAACTATACTCTATATTTGTTAATGTCTGTAAGTAATCATGTCAAAGCACCAGCAAAGACTCCCTCCTCCTCTGTATACACTGTCTATTCTCTTGTCTCTTGTTTCACCTGCTCCTTCAGTTCATCAATAGTAGCTTCTGCCTGTTTGACTTCTTCCTGCAGTTTCTCCTTCTGAGTCCTCAGAGTTTCCAGCTCAGTGTTCTTCTTCTCCATCTGCTTCTGCAGCTTCACATGTTCCTGTTTCTCTGAGGCAGACAGATCGCGCATCCTGAGGAGGAAGCAGAATGTAGTTGGATTTTTTTTTTTTTAACTGGACAGACAGTTTTCTAGGGCGTTAGTTATTCTGTTACAGAGTTGATGCGAGTTAATATGCTTTGATTTCTAGTCAATTTTTGGAGTTAGCTGTATTGAGTGATGATGAAAGACAACATTTCCACATTGTTATGAAAATCTTTCACTTTGTACATTCCATTATGCATCTGTAATAGTGAACAGTAGTTTTTTGTTTTTTTTTAATGTATGCCTTTTGTTCAAAGGGCCCTTACAGAAACATTTACTGACCTGACCAAAGCCTCCTTAAGCCTGCTGTTCTGCTCCTCCAGCTGTTTGACTTGGTAACTTGAGGCAGCTCCATCTGAGCCTGTAGGAAAAAAAAGAGATGAAAGAAAGAGTAAGAGACAGTTATAATACACAAGAAGTCTTTTTAAATGTGTACTCAGCCTCATTACTGTTTCATTGCTCCTCTTACACACCTTTCTCTGATATCTCATGCCTAAGGATCTCCAAGTCCATTGAGAGCTCGTCCACTTTCTCTTTCAGTGAGTCCACCTCCACTTGCAGGGACTCTGCTCGCTCTTCAGCCATTTCTTTGTCTAGAGTGGCCATCTCTATGGCATCTGCTGTGTCTGACATCTCTTCCATGTAGCGGTCCTTGGCCTCTTGGGCCTCCCTGGCATCCTACAAAGAGGAGAAGGCACAAGATAAACATTACAAAGGGGAGTATGATGATTAAAGAAGCTTTTCTTTCATGCTTACAGGCTTGGAAAAGTTTAACTTCTTCTTTGCCACAGTATATTGAAAACATCCTGATTGTGTGACTCTGAATTACAAAAAATAATTGCTGTTTTTTGTCTGAGTACCTTCTTGGCCTCTTTGAGTTGTTTCTGCAGATCGGCCTGTTGTTCCTGCATTTTGGTCTTCCACTCCTGAAGCTGCTCCAGCTGGATCTTGTGTTTCTCCAGCTCCTTCAGCTTGGCCTTGTCCTCAGTTCGCTTCATCTTCAGAGTCTCCAGCTTCTCCTCCAGGTCCTTGACTTGAGCTCGCAGTGATTCCTCCTCCTAAGAAGGATGGATAGATGGGTGAGAAGAAAAGCGAGAACGATCAACAAATTTAGCAGATTAACTGAAAAGAAATGAAACAAACCTTAATCGAGTCCCACTAAATAAAACCCAGAACAAGTTTGTATATGTCAATAATATTCCCCCAAATTCATTAGCAAATAATGTCCTCAATTCCAACCTCTGAATACACCACCTCAACAGAAAGATTAAAGGGCAACAAAGACAAATTAATCCATTTCCTCCAAACACAGTGGTGGAAGTAGTGGAGTATTTTTTTCAGTGTCTTGCCAAGTTAAACCATGCATCATCACCACAAAATTCACCGTGAAGACATTTCAGAACCGTAGCAAAGTTGTAAGAAGGTGTGTTTGGGGTCATTTTCCTTCTGTTTGTTAGTTAACTCATGCCAGCTATCATCAGCATGCATGTAGCCATGAGAAAACTCTACCTGCTTGGATATGACAGGTTCCCCCTGGTCAAACAATAACAACATGGATGAAATAGAACAAAGATATTAAAATGACGAACATGATGGAAAAATAAAAATGAAATGGCGATGTACTGACAACACTGGAGGGACTGAAAAAGAGCCTTTAGTTGTTTTCTTTGTTTGTTGACACACATATGTTCTTCCAACAGTCAGTGATGTACCTTGCTTGGAGTAGCCGGGAGCGCGGCTGCTGCTGCTGCAGGCGACCCGCTGGGCTGAGGCACGACAGGAGCCCCCAGCGCACCCTGCTGGGAGGACAGACCGGCCTCACTGACATCACCAGACAGCGAGGTCGAGAGACTCTCACGAGACGCCTGTCAACAAAGGCAGACGTGTCAGAGAGTAACGAGAGGGGGTAGTCGAGGAATGAAGCAGATTGAGAAAGGAAGGATTGGCGTTGTGTTAGTATTTAAACGTCAGTAAACAATGCAATCACCAAAGCAAGTGCTTCTGCTAACACGCACCTTTGATTAACCCAGTGAACATTGCTAGATTAATTCCTGAAATTTCATGCTATAAAATACAATAATCTCAATTTTATGTGTCTTCCAGGACCAAACACATCACCTCCCAGTGTCCCCTCTCTAGGGATGTTGTCCTACAACTTCTCACAGACACACCGATGCACCTGTGCCGTGAAGGACGACACACTCAACAGTTTTCACACCCTGTGAAGTGCCAGGTGAGGTTCTCTGATATAACCGAGCGTACCATGAGCGGCAGGCTGGGGCGTCGGGGGGGACGTACCAAGAGGGAGGGGAGGGATGTAGCTGCTGTGAGACGTGGTGAGCTCCACTGCCACAGCGTGATCACAGAGACTGTGTTAGGACTCAGATGGGTTACATGTAAAACTAAATGCTGCACAGTTAGCCTTAAGCTGGATAATTAAACCTTGTCGCACTGTGGTTTCATTCATACACATAACTACTGAGTCAGTCACACTAACACCAAGCTTTAGTCTTAAACTGTGTGTGACATTTGTAGTGCAGAGAAGCACAACCTGCTTTTGAAAATAGGTTAAAAAAGGTTTCAACTAATCAAGAAATCTGCACAAAAATGCACTGCCTTTGGTAAGATTTCAATAGTTTGAATGTTTAGTCTTCATATAACTATCACCCTGAAGATAAAAGAGACTTCAAATAACATTAAAATGTCAAAACTTTTCAAAATCGACCTCTTTCTAAGAATCAGTCTGTTTCGATCCTATTTGACCTCCAGTCTGCTGTGGACAAGCTCACCTTTGCAGAGCGGCGGGTAGAGGACTGGAGGAGAGGAGGAGGTGAGGTGTAGAGAGAAAGATGGACGCACACACACACAAACACACACGCACAGATACACACACATCCAGCGGCGAAGCGAGATAAGAGATTAGCAGCAAGTAAGAAGCATGTAAACCCACTGTTAGTTTATAGTCACTGATCAGAACTTTGATGGCTGCATGCACCAATCAACACCATTTCGAAGAAGAGTTACTTCACTGATCCAACGCACACAAGAGCGGAATGAAATGCGAATTCATGCAAAAAAAGAAAAAAAAACTGTGGGAAAACTTCACTGAAAAGTGAGGCCACAAGCAATGTAAAGAAAACCATCATGATGATCGTCACGTATCACAAGATGCCTTCACCAGAATTAAAAAGCAAATAAAGTGGAAAAACCAAGAGAATATTTAGCAAAAATTAAATGAATCAATCACAAGTTACGTCTTAAGGTTCCGTGCAAAAATCAACAGATGAGAAATAGACTTGGATGCAAAAGACAAGTGGCCACATTAGTGCGATTCACAATAACAACCAAGGCAAAGCAAGTGTGCTGAATTGAAATATTTCTACCTTAACGTTCTTAACGTTCACTGGTATCTGCAAAAAGTATTCAGGAAAACAAAAATAAGAAGTCAGCTTACAGGCTGAGACACAAAACTGAAACCTGTTTGTATAGTAAAAACAAAAAGAGAAGAAAACTGGGGGAAGATTTTGAAACAAAGCACTTGTGGTCAGGGTCACGCTGCAAACGACATCCCAGCGAGGCTTGAAAGTCATTCCAGCACTGATTAATCACCTTTGACACATTTAAACCAACATAACTGCTCTGGAAAAGGACATTATTACCTTAAAGGCAAATTAAGTGAATACATGGATGAGCCCTATTGGTTAAATCCACAGTACATATATGATAATCTACAGAAATGAAACCATTTTCAGGTAAAGTCATAAAAAACACAAGTTTACTGAACTGACAAAATAAAACAGTGAGGGAAAATGTACGGTTGCCTACCTGCTTGGTTGTTTTGGGAGTCTCAGGAATGTCTGGAGAACACAAATGAAGAATTACCATCTGCTCTTACTGTTATTTACTCTGACGCACTGTGTTTCTGAAACATGAGGTTTGCGTGGCTCTTGCTCACCTTTTTGTCTCGGGATCTTTGTTGCGCCAGACTCAGGAGTATCAGGTGAGGTGGCACTGGAGCCGTCTTCCACAACCTGGATCTGCACAGGGTGAAACAGGAGTGTAATCAGGTCAGCGTGACAACAAACCAGGAACAAATTACAGATGTCCGTTTGTAAATAAAAGCAAAGAGAGAAAAAGGCTGATAAAATGTTCACAGTGGTTATTATGCACATTTTGTATCAGAAATACATCCTGTGACTAATATGTGTAATTTATAATGCTCACAACATAATGTGCACATCAAACATTTATCATGATGCCACTAACCTGGGACTGTCTGACAAATATGCCATGATTTTCCTCACAGGTGAAGTAGCGTTTCCCCTGCACGGTGCCATCATTCTTGCCTTTGGGCTCATCCAGTATGACACCCACCCATTTCCCAGAGGCGAAGAGGGTGGCGCCAATGTAGGCAACAGTGCCCCGCTGACCCTTGCCTGTCACCTCTACGATAGAGCCAATCTGGGAGAGGAGGAGAAGATGTGAGGATCAGAGACTGTGAGTCAGGACACACAATTTCATGAACTGATGCATTATTTATTCATTTTCTTTTATTGTGGCTTAATTACCTTGGGAGGTTTCCCACTCTCCACTGTTCCTGAACTGCTCATTTTGCTGATCAGTGGGCTGGTCAGCTGTAGGATTTGGGGAGAAAGAGGCAGAAGGGTTAAAAAATGTGGATAAAAGAAAGAAGAAGAAGGTTGAATAGCAACGGGAAGGAGCGAGACAGTAAAACAGGAGTCATTACAAGGTCATTACATACCACAGAATTCATTGCTTACATTTCGGGATTCTTCAGGCATGATGTCTTTTTATGTCTTACACTTTGTCAAGCAAAAATGATTTAGGAGGATTGTTTAGTACATTTTTAATACTGTTTAATCTGCCTGCAAAAGATGCAAACAAACAGCCATGATTTATGTGCAACAGTAAGGTCCCATTGTTCTCCCTGCTCCAGCTATTACAAGCAGTCTTAGGAATTAAACCGTTTTATGGACAAGATAGTCCTGAGGCTGCAGAGCACAGCAACACGCTCAAGTACCGGTCATATGTCTGGAACAACAACAGACGTCCTAATAAACAAGCTGGGTCTCTGCCTCGCTCAGACAAAGATGCTCATTCAAGGCAAACTAGGGCTGCAGTAAGACTCTAATCCTTTTATAGAGCTGGAGGAACATGTGAATTCACGCTGCCTCACAGTTTTAAACCACAGGGCAGAAAACCAGATAGGAAAGGTTTATTACGTCTGGATAATAGAAGGTGAAACGCTGAAAACGGGAGATCATTTTAAAGGATCTACATAATACGACTTTGGAGTAATGAGAGAAAAACTTGGCTGTCAGTTAAATGTAAGGACAGTAAGTTTATCTTCTCTACAGGACCCTCTGTATTTATACCTGTATTATATTTTTACATTTTTGGTTTGCTGAAGATTGAACATGCAAGACGGTGAATCCTACGTCCACTTCATGGTGAGTGCCGCAAACCCTTACTTGTTCTAGATTTTACCATTATAATGTTACATCTTTTTTACTTTTCAAATGCATTAATCAAAATGATCGCCTATGTACAAAATAAAGCATTATTTGAAGAGCCCATGTTACTCACCCTGGGAGTATAAGAATGTCGTCTGTTCAAAGCCATATTTAAAAGTTAATATGGTTTCACCTTCAGTACAAAGACAAGGCTCAGTGCTAATTTTTCTCTACTTTCACATCCCTTCCTCTTTTCCAGCGAGAGGAGAGCACAACACAGGAATGTGGTTTAAGGGAGGGAGCTTTGTGATGCATCACAGAACGTCAGAGCTGATTTGAACTGAGAAAGGGAGGGCAAGATCTAGTTAGGTCCTCCATAGGAACGACACATGGATGTTAGCTCAATACTTTACATGGAACCATTGAAATAAGGAAGTATAGCGTTTACTGGCCAACATTACTGCTCATATTTATATAGCTTTATATTTATATGACACTCATTCCAGAAGTATGAACATGTAGGGAAGTTTGTGTGCTTTTCCATTACTTTGATCAATTATATCCGTGTATTTCATCGTTAATACATCTCATTTAATCTTTAAGAGACTAACAAACAAAATAGGAGCAATATGTAATTTCAGATATTACAATTTGTCAATTTTAAAGTTTAATTTCCACATTTATTGTGCAATACATTTAAAGCATGATGGATCATTACCACAGGAGACACCATCAAAATCTTAAACGCTCTATATTACTATCATTTTCTGCTTTCACTGAGTTAGACGTTATTAACCAGCATCAGCCCTGATCATAACTAATAAATACTTTTTTATTTTCAGGGTTTCAATCCAGCTAGTTTGTTTACATGATGCCACTGTTGGTTTTTTTATTTTAAAAAAACACATTAAATTATTTTGTTCTAAGAGGATTTATTTTTTTTGTTTGTTTTACTGTTGCAGCCAGATATCTATATGTCAATGAATAGCAACAACACTGATTCTGATGCAGTATTATATTTTGTGAAATGTCAAAAAAACTCACTCTTAAGACCTTAAAGGCTCAGGAGCAAGTATTGCACTGTCTGCAATTAGGTGAAATAAAGTTCTAATAATAACCAATAAGTTCTGGCTCAAAAGTGTTGCATATTTATCCTGAATTGCAGCCTTTGCGATATGCTAAATGTTTCAAATTGCGATTTTGGTTTGAAATCGATTAACTGTTAAGCCTTACAAACATCAATTAATAATGAGCTTATTTAATCATTCAATCAGTTGCCAGCTAATAAACTGTGGCTAGCTAACCTTAGCTAACGCAAGCTAGCATTTCTTCGTACTCCTAATTAAAAGGTCAGGTGCTAAATGAGCTCCTCTAAGGATTGAAAGTTATTCTGCCATGAGACAATAAGCTAAATATATCGCATTTGCACAACACAGACAACAAGAAAGGAGCTAATAGCTTTAGCAACAACAAAAAAGGGACAAAGTACCCTTTGAGAAATGTCATGACACACAAAACTATTCTGCTTTATTGTCGCTGCATTGTGAGCTCAAGCTATATTCACAATAATCCTCACAGCCATACATGTAGTATTTTTAAATTGCTATCTGTTTAGTCTGATATTCATTTAGAATAGCTTTATAACGCCCAAACTAGCCAAGTGGGTTTGTAACGTTAGCAGGCTAGCTGAAGTTAGCAAGAACAGCGCTGTAAAGAAGCTAACTTAGAATGACTGTATTTTGTGATGTAGCTCACCTGGCACAAAGATTCCTGTCTTTAAATTGAGCTTCTGGATGTGATCATGCAGTAAATAATCCTGTTGTCACTTTTTGGACGCCAGCTGGAAATCCGGGAGTGTTTTCGGTTTATATGAGGTCATTTCCGGGGACAATTTAAAAGGAAGAAGAAGAAGAAAAACTGAGAAGTAGCGCCTCTAGTGGCGGCGGATAGTCTGTGACATAAACCTGCTTCTGACTGGAGATTCAATTAGTCAGTTTATAGTTTTGCTGATATTTTAATCTTTAATTTTAATAATGGAGCAAAAGCAAAATCAAGATAGTTTACAGGAGAGGCAACAGTTATACAAGTTCAAGATAACACAATAAATACTATTAATACTAATTATATGTCTTTATACTAGCACACTGCATCTTACATGTAGACTGTAGAAAGTGAATTATTAATATTTTCAAATCACATTAACGCTTTAGTTTTGCAGTGATTAACAGCTTAAGCAATTAGTCCACTGAATTCGGATTTGTCCTGATAATTACTGAAAATGTCTTTAAAAACCTGCTTCTTGCTTCTCCAGTGTGAGAATTTGATCCAGTTTTACATGTTTGATAAATCAAATTTTAAACTGTTTCATTACTGCTAGACATTTCTTGCCTTTATTTGATGGGAAATACTATTAGTTTTTTTTTCACTGTTGGTCAAAATTAGCAATTTCTCAACATTATTTCCATAGAAACTGTGATGGACTTATTGCCTTACTTCTGACATCTTGTACATTCTTTAAGGTCTGTTGCAATATTGAATGTTCAACCATAGACAGGCCTTCATATTAATATTTGTTAGTCACCTTAACATTGCAAAACAAGTGTTGGTAGCCAGTGAGTTCAACGGGGTAAATGTTAAACTGTAGGGAGAGCGTCATGTGAATATGTGTTATCATCAGCATATTAGTGTTACATTTTTTAGTAGGTTAGTCAGTTAGTCAATTGAGCTGAAATGGTTCCTACTTTTTTCACTTTTCCAATTTGATGTTTTTCTTGGTTTTGTATTATTGTGAATTTCATTTCTTTGATTACTGCTGGACTAAATAAAGCAATTTTAGGCCAGGACAGGAAATTGTGATGACGTAATTCACTCGTCTGACATCTTTTACACACTGCCAGGCCTGTTGCAATATTAAATGTTCAGCTTAAGAGAGTTTATTATGTGAATATTTGTCAATCACCTTAATATTGATATATCAGCGCAATGATTAGTCGTTTAATCAGTTAGCGCATTGTGCTGTTTCAGGTTGTCTTTTATAAAGGCAAAGTTTCTGCTTTGTATTGTTGTGAAAAGCATATTGTTATGAGTTTAATTTTAAACTGTTTTACAACTTCATCTCCAGAGAAATTGCGTTGGACACAATTCAGTTTTATTAATATTTAATTAACTAAATCACTACCCAGTAAAGTTAGCATATTAATTCAAAAAAAAAAAATAAAAAAAAGTTGTGATAAAAATAATTGAGTTGAGAATGAGTTTTTGTCTTTTATTAGAAGTGAAAAACTGAGTGGATGTTATTGGAGTAAACAAGTAAGCTTATTATCCCATCACTTATTCATGCAGATAAAGTAATAATGTTTGGTTTAGGATGGACGGCCGGTGGATGTGTCTCCGGATGCATACTGACGTGTAAGCAGCCGGAGGCCCAGCTCACCGACCAATCAGGAGGCGGAGGAGAGGCAGAGCCTGGACCGGCTGGCAGGCAGACACCGGGGACAGAGCTCCGGCCGCAGCTCAGCCCCGTGGCGGTGACAGCACTGACAGCGACTGCACCAGGTCCCGACTTCACCACGTCGTCCCTTCAGAGCAAGGTAGAATTATTTAATTTTTTTGCTTCTAATGCGACTTAAATTCAGTTTTAAAAACGCTAACTTCTGTCAAAGTTTTGCCGGGTGTTTGTTCTGCCTGTTTGGATACTCTCGGGTAGGATGGCTCAAAAGTTTGTAAGCTAGCTAGAACGCACAATCTTATTTCCGGTAATTACTTTCATAATAAAATAGCGTGACTAAAATTGCACGGTAAAAGCCATCCCGCTGATGTTTCTTGTTTTACTATGAAGGTGTAGTTTTGTGCTTCCGGTACTGTGGTAGCGTTTTGTAGCCAACTTGACGAGTCGCTGTCCCGGCGTTTGGCAGGAGGAATTAACTCGGTGTTTCGTGGTGTATCGCTGCTTTACCGGGTCCGGTACGTGCTGTCGGTGCTGTTTTATTTTCCAGGCCCACAAAACGACAATTTTGTTCAGAAAACGAAAAAAAAAAGCCGAGCAAATAGTTTAGTTCCGATGGAGGGTGTGGAGTCCAAGTGTGACGCGTTACGTCATTCGTAGTTTCCCTCTGCAGAAAGTGGACGATCAACAAGTGTCCTGGAGACATCCGAGTCCGAAACAAACAGGAGAGGAGACCTGACGAATTTACTTCATTTGTCTTCAGTGCAACTTTATTTTATCCTCATCTTCATCGCATCAGAACAGAAAAGCATGCATGTGGATGTATTTCTGGATTCTTTAATTAAAGGCTTATAGAGAATAATCTAGAAAGACGATAAAATGCAAACAAGGGCGTCATTCCTGAAATAATAGCAATATTACGTGCACTAAAACTGCACTGGTGCATTCCTCCTTTTCCTGAAGCTGATTGTTAAGGGTGTGTCTCCACGTCCGCCACAGTTTGGATTTTCACATGACACCAAGTATTTTGATTTATTTTTTTAAAATCTGAAGCGGTTATACTCTTTTGTGGAGATAAGAAGGAGCCAGGTTTGTACTTGGTGGAGTTTCATTTTCTGAAAATTCCTCTGCAGGGTGGATTGGTTTGGCAAAATGAAAACTGAAAGTGTTTTTCTCTAGGGAGTGACAGCCTCTACAACACGATTCAGTAGTATAACAGTAATACTTTGTGGCTTAAAATAATCGGGCTTAAAATAATGAGTAAAATGACCTTTCTTCTCTGTTGATTAAAGTTCAGTGGTAGACGTGTTTGTTTTGGTCAGATAGTGGCTCTATCTATAAAGCAAATATTGAAGTTGACTGTATACATAGAAAACTAGCTCAACTACGTTCCATTCAAAGTTCTGAACCAATATTTATAATCGCAGGTGTAGTCTCTAACAGGGATTTAGCCTGACTGATACACACCGTTTGTCTGTTAATCTGATCTACAGTTAATAAAAAACTTGCCCAACCAGTCCGCCGGTGGCTCCCAGCGTGAACTAGGTCTGATTGCAAACTGCAAATTTGAAATGGTTTGCATCATCATCAGCTCACTTTCAGACAAGGTTTTGGAATTACAAATTGCTGAAATGTTGCCATGAAGTGCATTTTTATTTCTCTTTTCATTGTTTTTCTCTCAGATGGCTGACGTGGAGCTGGTGAAGAAGATGCTGCGGGCCGTCCTGCAGGCCAACAAAAGTGGAGTGTCGCTGTCACGTCTGCAGACGGAGTACAAGGAGCTGACCGGGGAGCAGATACCACACAAACACATGGGACACAACCACCTGGACGCACTGCTGGCCAGCATGCCCTCCGTAGTCCGCATGGAGCGCAACCGCACCGGAGAGGTGTGTGGATGGCAGACACGGGGTGGCTGATTTGGAAGATGGATGAATGAACAGACAACACATTTAGATGTCTACTGTCATGGTTTTTTCTATTCCTTGACTGTTACTGTCAATCTGAAACTGATTATTTTCACTGGTGCCACAGAACACCCGAGTCTAATCTGTTCTAGCTTTTTAGGAAATGTAGTCAAGATTTAATTGAGAGCCTCATGACAGCAGGTCAGTTACCAGTAAATTGTTACTGATAAATATACTCGACACAGTTTTCTTCTGCAATGATTCTGATATTTCACTGATGTACATTCTGCCTCTAATATTTAAGCATATTTGCGTTACGTTAGAGCTCCCTAAACAACAATATATCAAAGATTCAAGGTGCATAATTTGAAAACTATGCACACTAACCTATCACAGCCAAATCTTTGACAATAACTACTCCATTACCTATCTCCAACATATGGATAACTGACCATGACTGTAGTTTGCTGTTCTGCCACAGTCTCTGTACAATGGCCGCGTACTCTACATCCATGGGTAAAACTGATGGCACCACAAATCCCCAAAGTTATTTCAGATCATTATTTTTGTGCTGCTGCTGTTCATATCTTCCTCAGTGTTGTGGAGACTTTCTAACACTGTCTTACACGTATGCCTGTTGACCTTCCTCCCTCCAGATGGTCTATTTTGCCTCAGGGGCCAATGAGACGGCCCACATAGCCAAGGTGGTGGCTCGACAGCGTAGCTCAAAGAAGACGGGCCGACCCCACCTGGTCAACACCCAGATGAGGGTCAAACCTGCTGCACCGCTCGTCCTCAACGGTAATATTTAATTAATTATGGCTGCAACTAATTGAATATAAGTTGTCAGGAAGTGGTGATAAATGTCAATCAGTGTTTCCCCAAAGCCAAGATCATGTCCTTTAAAGTTTTGATTTGTCCAGAATCTAAAGATTTTCAGTCTACTCTAATAAAGGAGCAAAGAAACCAGAAAATACTCAGATTTGACAAGCTGGAATAACAGGATTTTCAAAATAAAACAAAAAACCCCTCCATTATTATCAAAAGTAATTGGCTGTAGTTTAAATCAGTTACTGCGAAGATGTGAGTCGTATACAAACAACTAGAGTGGCATGAAAAAGTAAAGGATCTGCGTGTGTGATTTTTTTTTTCTTGAAATACAATCAGATCTTAATGCAGGTAACATTTATGAACAAGTATAATCTGCAATAACACACAGATCATTTTATTGTCGTCTGGAAAGCTCCAAAGGGTTACAGAGTACTTTAAAGAGAGTCAGGGATCTCCAAGTCCGGTCCTCGTGAGCTGCTGTCCTGCAGGTTTTTAGATGTTTCCCTGCTGCAACACACCGGACTCACATTAATGGATCTCCAACAGCTTGTTGTCAAGTTCTACACAACTCTGCTAGTGATCCATTAATCTGAGTCAGGTGTGTTGCAGTAACGTCTAAAACCTGCAGGACAGAAGCTCACGAGGACCGGAGTTTGAGATCCCTGGTTTAGATATTCATTAGTACACAGTTAGTTCGACAAATTAGCAAT